TAGATGGAAATTCCTGCAATTTTTTAAATGATGTTAACCTTCTCAATATTAAACACTGCATAGAATGACATTAAGAGGGTCCCGAGGGAACATTTCCGAACTGATGAGGCTCCAGCTTCACCACTAAAGCATTCCTTAATGACTTACCAATAGCACGTGGCCGAATCTACTGCTGATTTTTACTTCTTGATCAGTCGCGAAACCCATCAACTCTCGTTTGGCATATTTCGGTGTGGCTTGCTTTCTTTCTCCTCCCTCCTCCATCTGGCATATCATAGATTGATATTTTCAGGCCAGCGATTGGGAAGAATTTTCTGCTTTACAAAATACACCTTTTGTCCTTAGAGTATAAAACAAAATAAAGGAAAAAAGCTTTAATCCTTTATGAAACAAGTTATGGACTCGACAATGCCGTTTTACCGTTCTCGCGGCAATTTGCCCAGAGAGGGGACCGCTTTTAGTCCGATACTTGTTGCGCTCGTATGGAAGCAATTACATATGCTTGCCACCTTTTACAGTCCAATTCACCCTTTACCAAGAGTCTAAGGGCACATCGAATCGCGTTTTGCATTAGAGCTGAATTGCAGGGCTGTTGTGACTCAGAGGCGCATTCGCAATGAGCGTATCAACTAACTCATCAATCACACTCCTGCGTGTTCCGCGGTACAAGACTAAGAATGTGGCACTACTAGAGGTAATCCATAACACCTCGAGCCAAGTCTCTTGAAGCGCGAGGACCTACATCTAAACCTGCCTCCTCAGTGAGAAGGGCGTGAACATGGTGAGTCTAGGCTGACAACAGAATAAACTCTTGTTTCACTGCAAAACCATTCCCGGCTCCATTGACAACATCGATTACATTCCAAGGGTTGACACGGGGGAATTCGAGTTCACTCGCATGTCGTATGGGTTGATGCTTTGAGGCCTTGAGGAGCTCACACCTAGCCCTCCTACCTTCTGACTAATCTGCCCGAGAAGTCGTCAACTACTTCCGATATTGTAACTTCAGTGACCGCATGATAGTAAACCACGTGCTTCTCATCTCCGTACACATACACGAGCTGTTTATGCAGAAGTCCGAACAACCAACTTGCCAACTTATCACCTCATCGACTAAGCCGAATGACAAAGCACTGAGAAACAAAAAGTTGGAGGAGGTTATTGCAGCTATGAGCAAGAATATGGAAAAAATTCAGGGCAACATTGATTCTGTGGCAATTGGAGCACCCTTATTCCACTCCTTGACCTTGTGCTTGCCTTCTGGTATGCAGATTTGGCTTTTTCTCACACCAAAGCACGTTGTGGTGATGCAGTGTCCTTCTGCAAGTCGCGAGGGAGGAGTTATCCCCCAGAACGAAGGAGGCATTCTCCACTACCGTGTGGTCACCTCGAAGCCCCTCCTCCCACCTGGTCATCAGTGGGAGCACAGCAAATGCATGACGAGTCAATGCTACAGCACAGACAGCTTAAACAAATGGTATGTTGATCGAGATGTCAACGACCTCTGTGTTGACAGCCTATTACAGTCCTGAGAGTGAGTCGCGCTGGTGACTGAAGTGGATGCTGTCAAACCGCGTTGGAAGCATTCGTGGTGGTGCAATTTGCCTCCACTTTGGAAGAGTCACCGTAGTGGTGGAAAAGGCGTCACCTAGATTGGGAGCTGTTTTGTTGTTACATTCAGTCTTACTTCAGTCCAGAACAAGCTAAGCCTTGGCGACGAATCGCCTTTGGTACTGGAGTGACAGGCTGGATTACCGGAGAAAGAGGCGTGTTGGAATGTATCCGGAAATACGTCGAGGCTTGATCACTCCAATGTCCTCCCAGTTACTGATGCAATCGAAAAAGGAAATTGCCCAGATACCAATCGTTGGCCCAATTGCGGCTGACGAAAAGCCTAGGCGATTTGGAGGGTGTTAGAGCAGTACTTGAGGAGCCATTCGAGAAGCTACTAGAAGCACTAGTGAATGGCGTATTTCGATCATACAGGGAATGAAATGGAACGCGCTCCCTGCTTCCAGAAAAGTGGTATCAACGAAGGACGACATCACGGAAAGTGGTTTTGCTTGAGGTGTAAGGAGTGCTGAAGTAACTAGACCAGGTCAGTACAGCCTACCTTTGCTGAGGCAATCTGCATCAAGCGGTTCTCGCATCCCAAGCACCTATGCCGCGATCCACACCCACAACTTTTCTGTCGGATGGCTGCAGTGATAGAATGTGCAACAGAGTTTCAAAAAGTAAACAGTCTCCACTTAGAGGTCAATAAGAGCTCATCCATTAACGGACATTCCAATAATTTTTATCTCAACTTGCTATGGCAGGCTGTTCGACAGATGCGTAGAAAAAGAATTGCGACACTTTGACGGTCAACTGCAGAGGCTCTTTACAATGCAACGACGATGCTGGCTACAGCATTCGACTCTGTTAAAGTGGGGTTTGTTGCCGAGGTAGAGTAAGTAGCACTTAGCTGGTTGGTTGGGTCAATCTTCGCATTCGTTCACTCCATCTTTTCATCCGCGCTGTGCTACACTTTTATCCGACAAAGTAACAGTCACCTCCCACAAAGTAACAACGCTGTTTAGCCATAGTGACAACGAAGAATCCGAGGAATTCTGAACTACCGAAGGCATGATTTTGGAGGAATGATCCACTATCTGGTTGACGACTGTTGGTTTTGTGACCTACTTAGCCATCCGAGTATTTCAACAGTGCAGTGCTTTTAGGTGAAGAAAATGAGGTGCGTAAATAACCGGAGGCTATACGGGACACCCCACTTGAGAACTAATTTGGACAAGAGCAAGACAGAGGGAAGAGTGTCCGTCAGGCCTTACTTGTTCATTCAGCCGCCAATTTTCCTGCACTTCAGTCGAATGTTCTACGGTCTCACATCCATGGCATATTAGGGAACGATTATAACTACAGTAGAATTATGTAGGACCCACCAGTAACCATGTTGGCAAAAAGGCCATCGTGAAAAGGGCTAACGACGAAGAACGAGATGGGAAAAGAAGCGGTGAGTCAAAGTTATTCTAGTTTACTATCTGTCGCTTAATTTAAAAAATGGTAGTGAACGGTTTGATGTCTACGAGAGTGCCACTAGAAGGATCAACCAAAGGTTTATTCGTCCTTAACCAGATGGCGAACTCCTCTTGGTGAGAGCTGTTGATTATTGAGACTATTAACCAACTAAAGTGGAATTGGGGTTCCTCTTTCGAACCCAACTGTCGCTTGAATGGGAAATGATAGACTCCTTCCTTTCTGCTGACAATTTTCAAGCTAAAAAGCGGCTATGATTGACCTTGGCATCCATCCTTTGCGTCTTCTTTATTTTCAAGCGGTAAAAGTTAGAAAATTCTTCATTTTCTAGTATCAAATAAAGTTGGGTAAGAGCCCCTCCAAAGTAGTCATTGAGTTTGTAAGAAGGGTTTTTGTCAACTTCTGAGTTATAGAGCCTTGTCAATCATCGCGATGCGTAATACGTTGAGACAATTGCTTGATAAACGTACCTGTTGGAAGAGGCAGAGTGAAACATTTGAATTGAAGTAAAATAAAAATAAAGGACGCTTTGAAAGAAAGGAAGATAACACCATCTAGCTACATCGGTAGGCTTCACTCATGCGTTATTTGGTCTAGCATGAGCACTGAACAAGAGGTTTGTCTCCAGCCCCATCCAATAAAGGCCGAAGCATTTTCAAGCCTGCTAAACCCCTTGCACGGTCATTTGTCTTTTTCTCACTCTTTTGCAATCCTAACCTGTCCAACGGATCAAAACTATTGCTGTCACCTTTTTAGAACCTTAACACAATCGGAGGAGTGAAATAGTGAAAGGAAGGGGTTAGTGTGTGTGGTCACCAACATTTTCTCTCAATCAAACCGTCGCATTGACAACGGAGTTGCCTATTCCAGTGAATGAGAGCGAGAAAAGGATGACCAAATTACTCCATTTAGCCAATCTGGCAGCAAGACCGCCCCCTTCTACAGATCCTCCACTCAAGAAAGAATCCTATTTATTTCTATTCCATCCTGACATCTACTGCTGGGGGCGAAAAAGCGTATATGCTGCGGATGGGAGAACCGGTGACGACCTCTAGAGGAAGGTCTGAAAATGACGTCTGCCTTCGGCAACTACCCCAGTTCCGTATTTTGGAGAAGTGGAATTAACAACGGGATCGGCACCACCCGTTAACCGTCAGGAAACTTTTGTTACGCAGCTGTTTACGGTACCTGTATGAAGATACCGGTTAAGCGAACACACGACACCTCTCCACCACCTGAATAGAACCAAGATAGGCATATAGCTGAGTAGCACTAAAGTGTAAACAGCGGCAAGGAGGAACAGGCGGAAAACTTAACCCTCACAGAACTACTTAACATTCCACCCTTAATTAAACATCTTTTTTGGCCAATATACTAGCAATAGATACACAAGCTGACCAGTACGTCCCTCTTTCTCCAAACACAGTTCCCAAATATGAAGAACTTCCAAATCCAATCGGATTTCTAAGAGGAATCATGGTGTTGCAGTTAAATAGCTTCTCAGTTGCACCCAAATCCGATGACTGGCACGATTGGTTCGTGCCGACTGCATTGTGATACTCAATACGGGAGGTTGACCAAAGAAGCGCCGGGGATGACGCTCGAAAGGAAAGAGGGGTTATGCGTTACATTGACTGTCCAACTCTGTGTGTTGGTTTCAAGGGCACTTAAAGCTCCGCCATTTCACATCCGCTGGGGGAAATGTCCTCCAGGCCATGTCAATTGCCTCTGGCCCTTCTCTACACCAGCAATGCATATTTCGCCCTAGCACTACGCCCTCTTTCAAATTTAAGGAAGTCTCGGAACGCTACACACTTAAAATGTCACTTTTTTCAGACCTGATCGTGAAATATGAGAAAAACCTCCTTTTTGGCCCATAAGCATTTTGATGCCACGTTCCTCATTAAAACCTAATCAGTCAATGGTCTATGAAGGTGGGAGAAGATAAACTGCTCGGCCAAAATATGCATTTTTGATCTACAGAAGGGGTTGGAGGCTACTAGTGTGGTCCAGAGGTCAGGCTGCCCAGCAGAGGTCCAATAACAAGGCCCTAAGTAGCCCGCTAACGAAACCGAGAATTAAACAAACTATTAGCGCATTACAGAAAATTCCTTCTCCTCCTCTTCACTTTAATTAACGTTGGATATCTGCAAATCACAGGGCCAAATGCAGAAGAATGAAAGATAGAAGGCGTGACAAAGTGAAAAGAAGGCGAAAACGTTGACCTCGATGAATTGTGAGTAGCTCATTCCATAAATAATGCTTGAAAAGGCTAGGTGGTGTATCACATGTAAGTAGGTGATGCGCTCTTATACCTCTTCGCGGATTCCATCCTATTTTACCCCATTTAAATCACGCAAATATCCTGAATTTTCTTCTCATATCCACTCACAACCACTCGTCATCCATCACCTGCCCCTCCCACCGCACAATTTCGTTGTGCTCACGGGCCCTTTTCCATAGACAAATTCACCACCAATCCGCGTGAGAGCAGTGCACAACCAATCGTCTTCTGCCCTCGACGAAAATTGATGAGAGATCGACCACTCAGCCAATTGAAATCCAGCTGCGCATTCCGTGGTGAATCACCGCGCTGTGCGCTGCCCATCGCGCACGCGTTCAGATTACTTCCTTTGTAGTGACTCTACATCGACTTCTTTCCTACGGCTTCCATTCTAAGGTCTTCGAGTAGGTCAAATTCCCGGGGTAGGTGTCTCGTGTGCTCCTCTCTCTCAACCTCCAGACTAGCCATCTCCTCGCCAAGACGGCGAACCTGTCCCCCTTGTGCGGACTCCTTTATAATCCCGATTATTCTTAATTAATTAAATCTAGCCCTTCTATTTCATTATGTATTTGATTTAAAGTCTTCAATTTAAAGTATGAATATTTGATGTCCTCAGACGAGTCCTTAATGTCATGGGAAACAAAACGTCTTTCACAGCCCGTTGTTTTATAAGTACGTCTCTAGTGAATTTCGACTGTTGAATTTGCGCAAGTTCGCAGATGCTCTCATTGGAATAATGGTTTACTCAAAAATGAGTAATTTAAAACTCCTTTCAAAAAGGCTAATCTGGAGAAAGAGCTCAGTACTTTATCATATCGCAAGCACTCACCATCTTTCAGCAAAAAGGCATCGTTTTCCTATTGCAACATTTTACTTGCAATAAACCAAACAAAATCGTGGTCAAACTCCAGACCATTTAGTACAACTCAGATGCAAACTAGCCGTCAATGACGAGGGGGTGACGGTAGCAGTCAGTAGCGCTGCTAAAAAAGGTAGCTAAGACTGTCAAAACGAAAAATCAACATTTAATGTCCAGTGATAGTGAAGGTGACGCACCGAGGAGGGGCCGAAGTGGAGAGATCGACGCGAGGCAGCTAGCAGTGGCACCTCACGCACCGCCATAGCGGCCTTGACGGACCAGCGCAGGGCGCGTTCGCTCACCGCCGTGGCGCGCGCCTGCCGCTCCCATTGACTGTTGTAGAGGCGCCACAGCGACACCGGATCACCTCGGTTCACCCCGCCTCCGGCCCGCCGACTCGTACGTCCTGCTGTCAAGGGCTGGAAAGAGGTGGTGGAGGAAGAAGGAGAAATTCCCCTTGTTACTTATTACTTCTGTTTGCAAATACATCTAGTCTATGGGTACGCGAATTATCAATATGATATACGGCCGAGATGTTATCTTGCCTTCGCTATATGAGCTTACACTTTTCCAGATGCGTCTGTCCCAAGCTATTGAGGAATTTCTGGACCCGCAAATTCAAAGACATTTTGATTCACATCCTGTTTTAACTTTTTAGGGGTCGAAAAGTTACTAGAGAAACCTCTTCTCGAAAGGCGGTCAATGAGCGAGATTTCGAAGTCGGACTTAACCGAATTTTAATAAATGAATAACCATCGAACGAGGAGACAGGCAAGAATATGTTCGTGAGAAATGAGATCCCTTAGCCTTTTGGTCTGCCAATAAGTTAACGTTCCAGTATAGAGCGTCCAACATATTACCGCGTTCCCGAATTGAAAATGAAAGCCAGAAGTTAAATCTATAAAGCCTGCGTCACTGTTCGCTTAGCTTTAATGGGTCAATAGTAAGAGAACCACTTCTAGATTTCTACACTTTATAACACAGACGATAAATTAGTGACTGCACAATGGCCAGCATACTTACCTCTAACAAAGAATAGGCTGGTTTCTGCCGCTATATCAAAGAAGACTAAACTCCAAAGGTGTTAGGTATCCCCCTACCCCTCATCTTAAATTGGGCAATGACGTCTCCTCACGGGTTAGTTGGAAAAAACCTATTTCCCACCTACTGACCAGCTGACTAAACCTGACTGGCTTTTACCGGGTTTTTCTTGCACATTCTCGATTGGAAGCGAATAGATAGATCTCAGACGTAATCAAGTGGTCTTCACCAAGTTCATATTTCCATCTGGAGTCCATCCCGACCACACGCTTAAAGACCGATTCCGAGAATGAAGTGGTGCATGCCTTGAGATGGGGTAGTGAGATAGATAGTTTGGAGACAACCAATGATAGGTACGCTCGCTTAACGAACTTTGCAGTACGAATGTCACTTCCTATCACAGATCAATCGGTTAGTTAGCCGGTCAACTCAAGTCGTAAACCAGAAGGGCACGAATCACATTCACTATCTTCAATCAGCACCGTATAAAATAAAGATTTAAAGTAGGGAGACGGTAGTACGGGGCACAATAAAGAGCAGCCCATCGGAAATAGATATAAGTCTATCTATCTGTGCCTTATAATGGAGGCGCGTAGACAATCCTACAACTTTTGCAAGTCCCTGCAGAGAGCCGCATCGAGCTGCGTGGACTTTTATCGTCACATGAGAAAAGGTACACAGGTGTGGAGCTCAACATTCCCTAATTTATGTCCTGTACCAAGAACATGAACGGAGGGAGATCTGATTGAAGCAGGTAGAAGTCGTAATGACGTAAAAAAAGGCCAGAAGTACGGCAGGCTTATACCTGAACGGTGTTAAAATGGCAGTGACAAGAAGAGGGATGTGAAATTGAGATGAAGCACTTCTTCTCACCATTTCTACCAATAACCAAAGACCTACTCTTCTAGTGGACACAGAAGAGGAGGATGAGAGGTTCCGGTCATAGTCCAAATTTTCCAGAGAGCTTGATCTCAGGGAAGCTCGAGTCCCATAAATCCTTCTGCCCATGGGAGGAACATCACCTGAAAAAGTAGGCTTTACGCATTGTGTAGTCAGTGAAAACGAAAACAAACCAAATGGAGATGAAGATCTGAAACATGGATGCGAAAAATTATTTCAGTTAGATACTATTCAGTCCTTAAAAGAGGGAAATTATTTGGTTAAATGATCCATATTTAACACTAATTGTTTGTTTAACCCCTGGTTTTGGTGACGGGCTACGAAGGGGCTCTGCAATTGTACCTTTGCTGGGCTGCCCAACCTTCGAGCCATGCCAATAGTCACCGAATCCTACTGTACGTTGGCAACACATGTTTTGCCTAAATAGTATGTCTTCTTTCGTCTAGGGGAAAGACCCATGGCGCCACATCGGTGGTAGAGGAAAGCGAACCCAGCCCTAAAGAATAACTCTGTTGATAAACCTTAACGAGGCGGAAGAACTGCATAGACGGTGGATGGGAGAATCGATGAAAAACCCTAACGAAAGGGTTGTAAATAATGTCTATTTTCGACATCTACCCTGGTCCAATGGTCCGTGGAAAAGCTGTTAACAGTTAAAGCGACACTAGCTGTAAACCATGAGGAAAAGTCCGTCACGGAGCTGGCTACGGTGCCTGTATGAAGATGTCAATAAGATGAAAACCCGATACCTCTGCCTTTCAACGAGATGAATGTAGCCCCGAGAGATATGGTTGGGCAGCACCGACGTGGGAACAAATTGCCAAGGATGAATAGATGGGAAATCGTATCCCCACGGAGCGATGTCAAACTCAACCGCTTGCTAAACGTCTCGGCTTTCAAAACGGTGTTCAAACGACTAGCGATGAAAACTCTGGATGGCCAATACATTTCACCGCCCCCCATGATAGTTCCCAAACAGGACAAAACCCCAAATCCAGTGGGATTGCGGAGATCCATCAGTGACGGTTCAGTAAAATATCTTTTTCGATGACTGGCACGATTGGTTGGTGAATGTCTTTCTTAAAATACCGACTCTGTTGTGATGTCTGACGCGAGAGGTTGATCAAGGAGAGCGCCAGGGCCAGCGCTCAAAAGAGGAAAGGGTCTAAGCAATAATTTATTTGTTTGTTTAACTTCCGATTTTGGTAACGAGCCACTTATAGGCTCCGCTATTGTTCCCTTGCTAAATGGACTGGCCTCCGGGACACGCCAGTAGATTTCAAGCCCTTCTGTGGGTCTACTATGCGTATTCTGTCCGAGTATTCCGATTCTTTCGTCTTCAGGGAAGTCTCAGGGGGCTACGCATATATGGTAGGATTCTTGACCAAACAGCAATGTCGACCTTCAATCCCATTTAGTATCTGACTCCGATTATTAGTGTGGTTTCTGTTATTTTGAATGTTTATTGTTGTCACCGTTATAAATCTTTTTGTGAAGATTATTCTTATAATGAATAGTGCACTCGATTGCAACGTAGGAAAGACAGGTGTGGTGAATTTCCTCAAGGCGAAAATAAATTCGAAATGAGAAGAACGTACTTTGCGAAGAACGGGGCGACTCATCACATTGGGCATTTGCCGACCACCGTGAGCGCGTCAGCGTTCTCGAATTGAGTCCATGTAGCGTTCCATAGGACGGAGTCTGCAGAGCCATCAGGGGAAGAAAGTAATCGGAAAATCATAATCAGCCACACATTTGAAATTGAAAGACAACATGATTTCACGAGTATTGAACGAACAAGCATGAATGGTAGGTGGAAATAATAAACAATTCTTGTAGTGTATCGAAGGTTTCAATGAAGAGACTCACAATTCGATTACAGAGTGTATTCGCCACAGAATTCCCACAATTATAGGGTTTCTGTTGTGAAATGTCAACTAAATTGTGAAAACTTTGGTATCAATAAACACGTAAATTAATTCAGAAGATTTATCATAAGTTAGTATTTGGATTAATATGCAAAGAGGAAGGGTACAGTGAATTTGTGCGCAAATCTGTGAAGTTCCCATGAATAAATACTCAAATAACCAGAATCATGTTGCGGTTAGCATAATATTAATCTTGCAAAAAATAGGCCTGTTAAGAAGCCCATTTAGTAAGAAAATATCGCAATAAATTTGAGAGGAAATTTGAGGCCCCATGCCTACATGGAAAGGCAACTTTGACGACCTTGTGTGTCCAAGCCAGCTACTAACCGAAAATAGTGCCATTAGACGCGTACTAAAGCTTAAGCGTGTTTTCTAAACGTGGTTTCGGGAATTCTAATCCTTAAATCCCCAAACACCTTTTGAGAAGATAACTTACGTCAATGTATTTGTGATTTTTTTTCAAGGCAACCGTTTTTGTCGCTACTTTCAGTTACGAGATTGGGTGAATACAATGGGTAAATAAATGGACGACGTAGTACTGTAAAAACCGACTTCAAGACCGTAAAAAGACTAATATTTTCAATCGGATCAAAAACCTTAACCGGTTCAAAATGGAGTCTTACCAAAAGTGTATAGCAAGAGGTCACCCTTACAAAATTGCTCGAGTTGACATCGCCGTACAAGATTAACTAGCCAACTGTTATTACACTTACAAGGAGCAGGAATTTTGGATTGATGGTTGAATCTCCAGAGGAGGCGTGAATTACCCGAACAGCTATGGCTTCGACTTCCGGAACATGCTGTCTCCCCAAAATCTGACGAGATCGTATTGCTTTCCCCAGAGGTCTCCTCGGGATCGTACGTTTCTTCATTCCCCTTGTCTTCCTCACCTTCCATCAGTTGAGGAGATCGGCAGTAGGTTTTCGCCTCAGAGTCACTTGTAGTAGTTGCTGCGCCATCGGACTAACGGGAAAAGTAATGCAATCAGTGTAGCTTTTGAAGGTGCATCCAACGGAAGAGTACTTGCTGTACCCCTGCGATTCTAACTCTATATCAGTGACATGAGGCCCCTCTTCGGCCCAGCTATGCTACTAGACTCCCAGCTGCCTCTGGAATCGCAGGCCTTATTGCCTTTTCAAGAGTAACTCTCAATATCTCCAAGTAAGCAAGACAGTTTGTAACAATAAGAAAAAAATAAGAAGGGTAAATACTTAAAAGGCAATGCGAAGTACTTCATTTAACCAACCGAAAAGGAGGTGGAGTTGGACCTTGAGCGCGAGGTGGCACTTTTCTCCTTGTCGAGACTGATAGAAAAAGTGTCAAGGTCGCGAGCAATGAGCGTATCAAGATCGGCCTTGATAGCAGCCAATCGCGTAGGCGAGGTCTCTTTCACACCCAATTTGACCAATTCGGTGCTGATCTCGTCTAAAGTAAACTCCAGATCGGGTGGAAGGCCATTGCAACTGACTGAGGAGGTTAGCATGATGTTGCCTGGGAAAAATAGTGGAGAAATTTGAGCTCTGCAGCACACAGCCAACGCCTTTTACCGCATTGGGCAGTTGGGAAGGCTAGTCTAAACTTATGGTGGTCGCAAAGGCTTGTCATGATGGCTTGGACATCACCCAAGAACAAAAACATGATTGGTTGGTCATACAGGTAACAAATTCATCCGGTTCATAAGGCTTAAATTCAGGCGACAGCGTTAAGGCAAATATAGCTAGGAATGATGTATTGACAAGGGCGGATGGATAGGAGCGAGCCATTTTGGAGCAAAGATTAAGTCTACTCTGGAAAATGCAGCCTATTAAGGTGAATACCACTGGGGTCGCATATGACACCTCGGTTTCGTGAGCTAAGCCCAATGTCATGTATATGCGACGCGTGGTCCTCATTGCTCACATTTAATGGAAGAGTAATGATAAAGTGATCGACGTGACAACTTAAAGCATCGGCAAACGTGGTTTTTAGCAGGAACGTTTAGTGCGCGTCAAGTAATACTTTGGACAACAGTTCAGCCACATTCGCCATGGAGATTAAAATCAATATTTAGGGGCCAACATCGTGAAGCACTACAAGGAAGACAGGATACAGTTCTGATTTTACCATCTAGTCATTCATTCAGTGCAAACTTAGTAAAGCTGCCCGCAAACCGCCAGGACCAAAAGGAGCGTGACAGTAGCCCTCAAGAATCATCATCAGCGCAAGAAGACATCAATAAAGGCAGATCAGGATTTGAGTTGCCAGTGAATACAAACTACCTTTCATAACAGTAATTTAAAAAAAACGAGGACAGAGGCCGAAAACAATGACAGGAACGGCATGACTCGTACAGGAAAAAATATCCTATCCCTTATCTCAAACCAACCCATAAAAGTGGTCGCCACATTCGCCCGTTAAACAGAAACAGACAACACAGAGCAGTGCAACGTAGTGCAAAGCAGGAGACAGCGTGAACGAATGAGGTATAAGTCGAAAAGGTTTGCAGAAAAAAATGAAAGTGGAATTATTCCTTTCCATAAAAAACATGTACACATAAAAACTGAACGAATGTACATGACAGTCCAAGAAGGATGGCAATCAGAAGCGTAGGAGGAAGCCATGATCAGGTCCAGAGCCACGAATACCACTCCCACCACTGGTAGCAGTATTGCGCGAGGGCGTGCGCTTGGACGCAGCAGCAAAGAATAGTGAAGCACCAAGTGGTGCTGGAGGCTCCCGCAACGAGCCTGTGGCCCCCGGCGGCGGGCGTGGTGAGGCGGGGCGATGCGAGGACTGCGACGGACGACCTCCACCCTCCGACTTGGCTGGCCAGCTGGGCATCATCGATGGGTGGATGGCCTGTGGACGCTCTGTGAAATAACGATGTGAAAGCGCCTTCTCTGCAGTTATTCGCCGCTCCGGACAATAAGTGAGGAAGCTGAAACAGTGGACTCATGGGGTGCATTGAGCTACTGCCACTATCAATACAGAGTACTATAATAAACACACAACTCACTTGGTAAGAAGCTCAAAGCCGAGACCGGAGATCTGCTTTTCAGTGAAGCGACGTCGTAGCTGGTTGTAGGGGTACTCAGTGAAGACGCCGTTACGCATGCCGGGGAGTTGAGTTACACCCGGCCAAATGCGTTCGTTGGGGGTACCGAGGTCACGGAAGATCATGTTTATTTGATCCACCTCACCCTTGCCCGGAAAGAGGGGACGCTGAAGGAGGAACTCCGCGAATATGCATCCCACAGACCAGAGATCAATCGGGGTGGAGTAGGATTTGCTGCCTGTGGGATTGTAATCAAATCAATTTAACGATGAAGCTCAGAAGGGAAAGTACTTGAGCACTGCGTCGACCCTAGCGCATTCACAAAAAATAACAATTCTCTACATCGCAGCCACAGAAAGTGACGTGTAAAGGAGAATTAAAACAGTTTGGGGATATTTAGATCTACACAAGAAACTGCAGCATGGATAAAATTTAAGTGCAGGAGGTTATTTGAGCCGATACTGTGTTAAGTCGCCCAACCCACATGGGTGTTGGCAGTGAATTTAGATTCCGCCCACTACTTAGCTATAGTGCTTCATAAAGTCAGCACAAGCAAGAAAGTCCTACCTAGGAGCAGTTCAACAGCACGATACCACAGAGTGACCACAACCTCTGTGTAATGCTGAAGCGGAGAGCCGTATTCTCGAGCCAGACCAAAGTCACCAACCTTGAGAATACCCTTGTGACTCAGGAGCAGGTTTGACGTCTTTAAGTCTCGATGGAGGATCCAGTTGTCGTGCAGATGCTGAACTGCGCGGAGGAGTTGGATTAACAGACACTTTACTTGACCCACTGTGAAGGGCCCACTCATAATCTAAACAAAAGTACAGGAAGAGGACAGATAAAGTGATAACATTTAAGAAAGAATAATCAAACCCACCTCCATGAGAGATTTCAAATCATGCTCCACGTATTCCATCACCAGATAAATCTTATCTAAGTCGAATCCGACCACAATCTCCCTAACAGTAACAATGTTTTCGTGCTGCGCTTTCATCAAGGTGTTAATTTCACGCAGCGAAGTGATGGGGAAGCCCTCCCGCTCCTTCTCCATCTTTAGTCGTTTCAGAGCCACTACTTCGTTGGTCCGCTTGTCGCGTGCCCGGTACACCACCCCGTAGGTACCCTCCTCAATGCGATTGAGACACTCAAACTCATCTACCGACCGGCAGCCTTGAATGGAGGGGAAGTAGAAGGGTTTCGGCGGTGCCCGATCAAGCTGCAATTCCCCGGATGTCTCCACGCCTTTGCCTTCATCGCCATTGGCTTTCAGCGCTGCGCCTTCCTCGCTGTAGATCTCATCTTCATCCTCCTCTTCTTCCTCCAAATACTTTAAGTGGCTGCCATCGATGATGGGGGCACGACCCGAGGCAAGACGCGTATTCAGACCTGAGGGTTCCAGAGGAGGCGGTGGCGTGATGTAGGTGTCTGCTTTCGCTTCGACGCCTTCTCGATCACGTGGTGGAGAACGCGATCGATTGCGCCCGGAGGATAGTGGGATAGGAGACTCCGACGAGTGGTACGACTTCTTTACTTCATCGGCTGAGATTGAGATGGCGTGTTTATGCAGATTGGACTGTGATTCGGAAGATTTTTGATGTGAGCGGCGCGAGGACTGGCGATGGTGGTGATGGCGACGGTTGTGACGAGATGACGTAGTGACCGAAACAGTAATTGAGTTATTGGGTTTCTTTCCTAATACTTCAATTCTCTGCTGATCGTAACCACGCTTAAGTGAGCGCCTCTCGTTGCTACTATCGCTGCTGGAAGAGGATGTGAGATTCTGAAAGGCACCTGAAGAAGCAAATAACAAGTCCCCCTCAAAATGAAATGAGAGGAGTCGGAGAGGAATAGCAAAAGCGTACCAGTGCCGATGGAACTGTGGATATCCGGCTTCTCCAGTAAAACATCTCGGTCATCGACAGACCTCTCTGGGGAGTCGAACTTGGATCGAGGAGGGAGATGAGCGGCATTGCTCTTCGCCATAGCCGTTGCAGCCGCAGCTGCTTCAGCCTCCCTCTCAGCTTTCCGTCGGGTCAGGCGAGAACGATACTCGCGCTCCTGCTGCTCGGTTGTCACTGCGCCAGTGTTTTCATCGCTGGAAGCTTCTCCCTCCTCTGAGAACGCTTCACCCTCCTCCCGCGGGGAGTAATTAGATGCAGGGACTATTTCGTCAACTTCATCCTTTGTGTAAAAATACAAATGTTTGCTTATCGGGTCTAGTAAGACACTAATCTTGCGCCTCTACAAAATATGACGAAATGAAGTCCTGCTCACGGCACCTAAAATACCAATGTCTCAGCGCTTTCGGATGTTTATGATAAGCCCATTCTCAGATTGCTATGTCTTATGGTGCTTTTAGACATGACTTAGGCACCAAATTTTCAACTGCGTAAACACAATCTTTAGCATTAGCCTTCCCAATGCCACCTCGAGTCCCAATAATCAAACACAAGTGGCACGCACCGCCATACTTTCAGAACTAGTGTTGAAAAGGTAGATGAAGAAATCGCATGATATACTCAGAAAAACACTTCAAATGTGTAAACAGCTTGTTTTATCGGGCTTCTTTTGAACTGACGCGAAGAATTAAGTAAACGTTGAAGAGCTAGTCAATTACAGGGTCAAAAAACTGTAACTGCAATGTTGGCGTTACAATTAGCACACCCATGTAATCACGATTATACTGCATAGTGCGATGTGACATCACAACTTAAACTGCTATTTTGGTTTCAAATGCTGTGTAGACCTAAGTTAATTTCAACGAGACAAGTGTAACCAAGGTCAAGTGTTCGAAACACCTTAAATTGTAAACGTTAGGACAGATTGTCATAAAGGAAAAAATGGCACCAATTGAAAAATTTAACTACGTAATTAAATCCCTCTTCTTCCTCCGCATGATACTTAGTATGTTCTTTGGAATTGCGTTTGGAGGATTTCTGATGCTCGTCACGTGACATTTCGGTCTACTCTGAAAGTAACAAGAGAATACTGCTGACAAAATATAGCGGGCCAAAAATTAACAAAGTGAATGCAAAAATACTTCACTTCATCAGTTGTGCTTCAAAGATCCCAGTAACAATCAACAAACAACCACCGGCAATTACAAGGGGCTTACAAAATGCCGTATTACTAATACTAATAAAAGCAAAGTCATTGTGTGTGAGCATAACCTTATAAAACAAAGATCAAAAATGTTAAAACATGACAGCAATTCCTTTGCCTAGGTACTTGATCTAACTCTTCACCAATGCGTACCCAGCTGATCGAACCCGGTCAAAGACGAAACGCACTCCCACAGGAGAATGCGTCATAATGCACATCATCAACACCAAAATACCCAGACTACTAATTAACTTTATTTACCAAAGACGCACTTTACTTGTTATTCACTTTTGTAAAAAAATAGCCTTCAATATTGGTTGTAAGAAAATATAATTTTGTAGTTGTAACGAGCCTGCTGCATTACCACCGAACACTTTATTCAATAGAAGATATACTTTAATGGCAGAAGCTCTATTTATGTACGCACTAATAGGTTTTTAATTGAAAGCTTGGTGCTAAGAAAATCTATGTTAGAGCCGACTATATTACTTAATACTTTAAAAATAGGCACGACTACTATTTTATTCTGTATACTGTTGACCAGCTGCCGTAAAAGTTGTTTTTGGGATTTGATTTAGAAGAATGTTGCAACCGCTTAAGCCTTTTAAGGCTGAATAAGGTTCAAATGACACAAGAATGCAAATTACGCGCATCCAAGCTTGCTGGGGGTCTGCAATCTTCGCTGGAGGGTAATGTTGCCGAGCGGAAGAACAATCTCCGGCTACTAAAGAGCGTGTGTAGTTTTATTTGCAAGCACTTAGCAAAGCCTAAAGCTGTCGTAATATTGTTTTGGAAAAGTTTACTGTATCTTAAGATAAAGTGCTCAAGGGACATACTTAGGGTGAATAATTAAGGGGTTTCAGTTAACATAGTATGGAGAGGCGCATTGTGACGCCTTAAGTCTTCTCAGATGTCGTAATAGGGCAAAGCAATGTGTTGGAACATGCACCAATAACGTGCATCAGAGCTGGGGAGCTATTATTATGATCTTAAAAACACACCGTAGAGCCGAAATACAAACCGCGGAGACTATAGTACCATGTGGCCAAACACACAATCAGACCATATCGATTTACCACAGTATAATATTTTAATGTGTGCGGCATTTCTGTGTCATACTGACGTGTTTTTAGAAGCAACGTCAAGACGGGAAGCTTCATATTTTCACTAATATCGTACAAACTACTCAAAACCCATAGCAGGCCTCTTATTGGGGTCGATTGTTGCTCATTGAAAACTGATCTTACTCATCCATTGTGAACTTGACAAAAAGCAGATACTTTTTAGCCCTGCTGTAACAACACATTAAGCTACCCATGGTGAATAAGTTCTACACACAACATTAAGGTTTGTTAATGGATCAAAGAGATTAAATTAATTGTCTTTTTCTACTAAGTTAGCTTGTCGTTATCATATCCGCCACTTTACCTCTTGCAGGCAGCCTGACCTCTGTACCATACATTCAGCCCCAATCCCTCCTGTACGTCGACAATACATGTTCTGTCCTGGTAATGTGTCTTCTTTCACCTTCAAGGAAATCTCAGGGAGCTACAAGACTAAGTTTTGAGTCATCACAAAATCATTTGAAACAGTTCATGTCGTTCTTCTACCGTCAATGTAGATGTTAAATTTGGGAATAATATCTTCCGTTCAGACGAAAAGATCTTTTTTCCCATCATAATTCCTCAGCTTTGAGTCCTTCAGAGCGATCAGAGCACATTGACCTCCCGACTTAGCGGACGTCACCAAATCATGAAGAGGAGACAGACCCTGATCTCCTGCAAAATGTTGATCGTCCCTAAGAGCCCCCCCCCTCCTCAGCTTCTACACAATACACATATACAAACTACCCTCCAAGATCAGATATTTTCGTTTTATACACTTATGTAAATAGTCAGTGATAACAAATGGATAGGCTTTGGCAGCTCCTCGAGGAGGGATTTTATACACCAAAAATAAACACGAGTTACCAGGAGTTGCTACATATTGTCAGACGAGTCACGCAGAGGAGAGGTATTTTTATTATTTAACTGGTTCAGCTACAAGATTTCGTTACAGGCGCCACCTAGCCTTCGTGGTGCGTTTCGGTACTCCAACACGCAAAGATTGCCATAACCCCGCCTTTTTATTGTATCTCCACCGAATTTTAAGCATGACAAAATATATCTCTGTGATACCTTCTTGTCCTGGCTGCCTGCTTGTACTTGACCCTTGCATACATTCCCAGTGATTCGTTGTTTAAACTGTAGACGTAAACAAGCTCGAAGTGAATTGGGAAAACAAATAAATATGGATGTGCAGTAACGTTTTGATCGTTTGTTTAACTTTTCTTTTTGGTTTCGCAAGTACTTAAGGCTCCGCCTCTGTACTTCCGCTGGGCGGTATGGCTTTTGAGCCATCCCTTCTGTATGTCGACAATACATATTCTGCCCTAGTATTATGGCTTCTATCGATCTCAGGGTAGTCTCAGGGCTCTGCATTGGTGCCAGCAAAAAGTCAGTCCTATCCTAAACGCCAAATACCTCTACTTCGATTAGTGAATGCTAAGCCTTGAAGTGACGGAAGAAGAGCAGACCTTGCGAGTGGGAAAATCTCTGAAGATCCCTAACTGGTCTAAATGTGAAACCTATCTTCGGCAGCCGACTCAGTCCCGTGTTCTTCTGAAGAGACACTAGCCGTAAACTATCGGTAAAATTTTGCTACAGAGGCGTCTACCGTATCCTTATGAAGATGCCAACTAGGTGAACACTAGATAACTCCTCCACCTCTCTACTAGCTGGATAGAATCCCAATAGATGTGGCCGGGCAGCACAGCAATGAGTGATACCTTGTCTTTACGAAATTGTGTTGAACACCACCCTTTATTAATTGACACTACACTTGGGTTAATGTTCTTACGATTAACAATTGGCATACAAGATGGCTAGCACATTCACTTTCCTTACTGCAGTTCCCAGACAGGACGCGAAACCAGACGTAATAGAATTGCCAAAGTGGAACATACATGTTCTTATTTGCATGCCAATTCGATAACCAGTGCGGTCGGTTCGTGACAGGTTTTCTTGCAGCACCAACTGCATTGCGATGGCCGACGGAGAAGGCTGATTACAGAAGCCGCCGGAGACGATGCTCAAAAGAGAAGAGGGGCTAAGTAACACGCTGGTTGTGTGTTTAACCTTTCGTTTTGATTTAGCGGATATTTAGGTCTTCGTCTTTGTACTTCAGCTGAGGGACGTGACATCTGGGCCATGTCAGTTACCCATTAGCCCTTCTGGACGTCGGCAGTACATATTCTGGCCTATTATTATACCAGCTTTCATCTTCAGGGAAGACTACGAAGCATTTAATTTTTTTTTAATAACAGTGCAAAAGTTGTTATTATTTGTGCTCGAATTGGACAACTAATAATTTGTGGAAGTTTAGCACCAGAGCTGTATCATCACTGTAGTGGTCAGCTCCAGATTTACTTTATCGTATTATTTTACCCAACAGACGTCTAAGATAACTGTGGCAAGAAGAAACTCAGCCTAATCTCTAAAACCGCCCAAAATCACAGCTCTTTTCTCATTGGTTATTGCTGAGAAGTAGTGAGGGAGAGAGCTACTAGTCCCCCCACAATACGAGTTTCTGCAGTGGGGGATTCGCATGGCAAACACACCGATATATCAACGATGCAAGCATCGATTGCCCAGGGCACTTCTAGGCTTGGCTTTTCTTGTCGTTCTCAAAGCTATGATCCAAGGGGAAATCCAAGAGAGCAATCAAGTTGGCGATGTGTTCCATGAGGCGAGGGAACATATTGTCGCCTCTATGGCCAAATATCAGGTTAGTCTGAAGGTTTTCCAAGGCCGAGCTTACGTTATGAAATAAATTACAAGAGCACATAGGAGGGTGTGGAATTTTGTTGCTTTTAATTGCAATAAGAATAGGTTAATTTCTTACTAAGTTCCTCAAATGCAAGGTTTATATTCATGCCAATGAACAATTTGATAAGTGTACATGGGTAGTATGCATCCAATTCACCGTAGGCCAGACAAAATCCCTTTTTAGAACTTATTGTCTTTTCCTCAGCCAAAGGCTAAGAACTCAACAATCGATAATGTGGTTTAAAATCTGCTTTATTATAATTTGTTATTAAATATTCTTGCTAAGATGATATTTCCAAAGAATAATGAGCCATTCTTTCATTAATAGGTTCCATTTAACGAAGAAATGGAGGGCGACTTCATCAAAGGAGTAGAAATTAATATACCCTTCTCTTGTTTTGTCAACGAACGCAACGGTGGGAAATTTGGTTAATTTCACCTCAAGTCCATTTTTTGTGAAGATTTTAAAGATGCTAGGAACCAATCGACGATATCGCACAAATGGCAACTCTAATTTACCAACGAAATAGTTCGCCCTGTCATATTTTTTTCGAGATCAACGGAAATTTTAGTGAGAAAAGGAAAGAAAGGCTTGTCTTTACAGTGGTGCGGATAGGCGTAGTTTTGTTTGGTTCAGCATTGTCAAATCGGTCCCAACTTTTAAGCAATCTGGACGCATGATTCGGTCACATAATCTTAAAAATTCCCTTACGGAGCAGTAGTTACCCAAGCTGAGATAGGAGAGGTCAATTAACTTAAATAAGGTGGAATGATTTCCGTAAGTTGAAGGTCTTTGGTGTGGAAGGCTAGTGGGCCAGGAGCGTGAACTTTTTGCTAGCATGATTGTGTAGACTTGTCCCTGTTTTCATTCTAACTTCTCAGGTGGTACTTTATTTCGAATTGTTTCCATCGCTCCCACTGCCTTCGGGTTAGTACCAGCCCGTGAGGCGTCAAGCTACTTATATACACTTAAGTAGGGTAAATGACAATAGTATTACCTTAGAGCAATTTTTACAATTATCTTTTTTATCTGGGGGAGGGGGGGGGGGGGAAATGTAGCATTCAAAGTGGAATCGGGATTTGTATTTTTACTACTACTCCATCGAAGTGAAATATACATTTGACTACGATCCTAGGCTTCACTTAGTTTTCCACTCAATCTCCGTGGCATAATTTGGTAAATCACCGGTTTGGTGCATTTGATTCTATGAAAGTGCTCTCATTCCTGTGTACATTCTATGTCTCTCTAGTTACGATAATAACACTGGATTCTTTGATGAGTTTCTCTGTACCCGAGGATACCGTCTATGCAAATATCTGCCTTAAGGCCATTGGAAATGGATGCCCAACACTGAGAGAAGGCTTTGACAAGTAAGTCATCTTTATGTCGCTATAATGCCATGAAGTGTGATTTTTAGTACTCCATATTGTACGCTCTTGTCGTGGGCTTGTTATAACAGTAATTACATATGACGCATTGCAGTCTACAATTCCTTTCCAGAGAACACAGGCTTGCTCTGGATTTCACCTCCGCATGACATGTTTCTGGAAGCCTAGAAAAAAATCCTTTTCTTTTCCGCCCTTACTTTCCTGCTTGCCGTTTAGTCTTGCGTTTGGTCATGCCAGAGCCTTAGCAAAATATAAATAGGGGAGTGGGGAGGATGAGGCATTACGCCCCATTCCAAAAAGTGCGATGAGGTCTTCACTTGGAATGGTTTTACAGTTTGAGGTAGGAGACATGGCCTTTCGTTATGGTTTTTCGCATTAAGGGCTCTTACCTCCCACCTACTGACTAGTTTAATAGACTTGATCTCCCCTCAACAAGTTTTTTGTACACCCTCAGTTGACTTTAACTAGTTGGATCACAGACGCAATCAGTTGGCCTTCACCATGCTCATATTTCCTAGTGAACGATTTTGTCTCGAGTCTAAAAAAGCTCGAAGCACAGATCCAAGAATGCAGAGGTGCATGCCATGCGATGGAGCAGTGAGATGGATCGGCTGGCGATAACCGATGACAAAGTTGTCATTTGAAGTCGTCTTTGTTTCTAGATTCTGTGTAAACGTAAGCATAGGGGTCGGCGTAACGCATTATCATTACCCACTATGCCAGAGGATGAAACCCCACTCCGTGGTTCTACTCCAAACTAACCACTCCAAAGTGCCTGCTACTCGTAACTGCAGCGTGTACATCAGTATTGCAAGGCACTTTCCCCAAATTCCAGCGGAGGATTCCACGCTGCTTACTTGTGCGTACTTCCAGGTAAGTAAAAGCATAATAGGCTCGCCACGTGCTGACTCGGGTACAACAACTAGGGGCATCATGGACATGACATGACATCGTCGTTCTTGTAGTCCTGTACCTTTGTCTTCAATGGGCGTCTCCCCTGTGGAATCCATAACTTTGCCAACTCTCTGCGATGGCTTGACGCATCACAACAACTGGATGACGCAAAAGGATCAACCCTTAGCTCTTTAAGGGAACTCTACAAAGGCATGCATTCACTTACACAAAAATCTTACCCCTCCCTTTTTAAGATCGTGTCTACCCACTGTGGCTACTGCCCTGTACCGATGCATGCTCCTCAAACAGTCGATGCTTCTGGCACAGAGCAAAGCTTCTTCGATTCGGCCTTGATGCTAACCGGGATCCGGAATATCTTGAGGGCTCTGGGACAGCTGGTTTTTACAGTGGGTCGAATGCCTTAGGGAAGGTATTTACTCCTGCGCTGCCCAACACAACATGGGCGGAAATGCGTGGATACTTAAACAACTCAGCGGTGAGTTTAAGAAACAATAGGTCACGAAATCAAGTGGAAAGGCGGAATTTCAAAATTGAGGTTGTCGAAGGGATACTTATTCCCGTAGATATCGACTCCAGCACGATCTTATTAAAATTGACCTTATAAGGAATACTCCTAGAAATCATGCAGTTTGTTAGAGGTTCATCTTGTGAAAGGTCTACATTATAGATTCTCTTCGTGGGTGATTCCACTCTGCGAGGGCTTATGTATGCTCTTCTGAGCAAACTCAACGGAAGCCTACGGTACTGGGAGGCCTCTCACAGCCAGCTCATCTTTGAATCACTAGCTGGTGGTTTCTTTCAGCGCACGGATGCAAAGTTGACAAAAAAGTCCTACTCCAGTGTCATTGCCTTTGCCTATTTTCCCTTATTTTGGAGCAGAAGACTCCACAGGAGAACCCTCGTTGATGTGATTTCTCAGTCCCTTGGAAGGTAAACTTAGTCTTAATGAAGATTGTCACCTTGTTTATTTGGCGCTATGATTGCTCTAAAATGCTTTTTTGTAGAATTGCCAAGAAAAATGTTGATCTCTTCATCGGTGGGACGCAGTGGCTCAGTGCTGATGAAATGAAGAGGCTGGGATACTACTTATTGCATAATAAGTAGGCTAGTCCGACTGCTAATGCCAGTATTTAGGCAAAAGAAGATACGCAGGGTCATCATAAAAAGCCACCAGGCTGGATTCCACATTCCAAACTACCTGACACATCACTTCAGTCTGGTGACTGCGATTCTAAGGCTGCCTAAGATTAATCCTTTCAAATATTTTATAAAGGAGATTTGTAATTGTAGCATTAGCATTAAATGATGATCTTTTTTACAGGAAGAGCACCTTTGGAAGAAGAGGCAAGTGAACGAGGAGGTGTGGAGGTTGGGAGGAGAGTTGAAGTGGGCTAGAATTGACGCCTACCAGTTAACGTGGTCAAACCTGTTCCACTTTTCTGGAGATTTCCAGTGCTCGTGTCACTTCCACAGAACCACTTTTAACTTGGCCTCAGGAGAGTACATCATAAGTGGAGAGGTAACAGAGGCGCTACTGCAAAACCTGGTTTACTATCTTCTGAATGACAATAAAGCATAGTACCCTGCCTCGGCTTTATTGGTGCGAACTCTTACTACTTTAAACGTGTGGGGAAAAGAGGTGCCCCCCCACTTTCGATAGGAATGAAAGTTCGACGCTATTTTATGGATTAACAGCATAACAACAGGGATTATTATCCATGTTAGTGGCTGAAACAGCAAATTGGGAACCTCCTGACTGAGCGGTCAGAGGAGCAGTTTGAGGCATCCGAAACGGGATATTAGAGTAAGTAATGCTTAAAATGATAACCTCAAAAAGTTTGCAGTGTATCGAAAGAATACAAACCACAATAAATAATGTGGTTGAAGCTTTCCTACCTGTACGCAATAACAGTTAGAATGTTCTAACAACTATAAACTAGATATACTTTACTGCAACGAAATAAAAATTAAAACAAGTGGCCCATAGTTGTATAAAACATACAGGCGTACTCCACAAAGGACATGAATATAGTGGGTTTGTGGGGACCTCGCTCTCTACAGTGGGGGGTTTCCGTCCCCGAGCCAAACTATGGCAGTAGGCACTAAGCCTTTTGTACATTATAAAGATATGCTCTTTGTCGTAATTGATTAGCTTACTACGACTCCAAAAATGTTCGACGTGCTACACAAGGCTAAGTAAATCCAATCGCTTAGTAGCCAAAAGGTTTTCAGGAATTTATTCCTACACAGTTGTATTTTCATGCTACATTTAGTACTTTTTCGTCAAAACATATTATTCAATTTACTTCAGGCAATACTCAGGCGTCAGAGAATCATTTAACTGAGTGGAAAGTAAAAATATAGTCTTCGTTTATAATGGCCAACCTCCATCGTAAGGCATTAGCTCGCCTTTCGAAGCGGGCATATCATCGTTATACTTGTCTAGCTGTGACGTTTGTCAAATAATGTGAGTTCTGGATCATCACCCCGCTTTTTTGATCAAGTATATAATAATACCTTACTGCTATGTATGATTCGTTTCGTTATTTCCCCAAACATGTTTGTAAATTTGTGGTTTGCAAGCTTGTTTACAAATTTATTCTTTCATGTCACCACAGGGATCCTTATTCGGAACAGGCTCAACCAACTGAACCATCTCGACCTCCTCCAACAAATAAAAGGTTTCAGCAGACGCAGGCGCAGGTTAATGAAGTCGTTGACATTATGAGAGTTAACATGGAAAAGGTGCTTGAACGAGATGCCAAGCTGGCCCAGCTTGATGATCGTGCAGGTATACAACCTTGTATTGCCACTGCTTTAATCATCCAAAACGGAATATTTTTTGGTTACGTCTTGCTAGGCAAGTATGTTTATATCATTCCAGTCTATATGATTCTAATGTAATGTATTTATTTAAATGTCCATCAGGCCGGAATAAAAGGATTTTAATCAGGCTTAATTTCTTTAGATTTGCCCAGTTTTATAGCACATCTTTCTGTGCTCTTAGATGCTCTTCAAGCTGGTGCTTCTCAATTTGAAGCCAGTGCTGGAAAATTGAAGAACAAATACTGGTGGAAAAATATGAAGGTATAACTATCATTTACATGTTACTTTCACCGCTTTAAATGCTTTAATATTTAATACGTCTAATGATTAATTTGTACGATCCTTCCTTAGATACCTCTTTCGGGATACATATCTCCTCACCGTAATTTTTGTTTACCGCTAAATCTGAAGAACTTTTTCGCATTTGTTTATTTATTTATTAATCAAATAAATGGGTCCTCCTATTTGCACACTGGTGTCACCTTTGTGGAAGATGCTTTAATATAATTTTGTGCTATCTTTTTAGATGACACTCGCTTTGGGGGTGGTTGGACTTATCTTACTGATTGCCCTGGGCTGTAGGTTTGCTCTCAGAATTATTTGTTTGTCCTGCAGTACTACTGGAGTTTACTTTTATAAATGACACGTTAGTAGCGTAGCATTTCCATGTATAAAGTTCTATATTTGATTTGTAGTTGCATAAAGACAGCCATTTTAAAATTGCTGCACTTTTAAATGCTGGCGTTGTCCGAGAAAGAGCAAATATTGATCGTATGGTATCCCAAACCAGCAATTTTTTAAACGTTCAAGGGAGGTCACATCTCTCACCAACCCACAGATGTGATACTTTTACATTTGCAACGAATCAGGTCGTGAGAAAGCTCGGAGAATCGGTGAAAACCTAGTCCAGACGAAATGCTTACCATGGGTTATTTGTCTTTTTATTTAAAATGGTTTATATGAACGACCAACTCATGGTGTCTACGTAGTAGTAATCCTGTTTTGCTTTAATTTCATCTTAAAAAGATTAAATTGAGATTCACTGCGTGACTTTAATTCCAACTCGTCGGTTTTTTGTGTGAAACACTCACGAACGCAGGTTGAAATTCCCTACAAGAGGAATTTTGAGGCTTGTGCTTGCATGCATAACTGATAGCAGAACTACATCGTCTCACATTTGAATAACTTTCATCCGTTAATGGAGGGAATCAGGAGGAAGGGTGGCAATAAGTGTGTGCATCCGTCAACGGTTTTTTGGAGGATTTCAAGATTCAAAACTTAATCTAGCTTCCAGTATTGTATCCCCGGTCCCCAGCATCCTTAGTCACCCTTGTGTTCACTCTGTTTCTTTCGTTTTACTTTCTATAGTTTGTCTTGTACTTGTTGCCGGAAGCCACTTCGTGGGTTTTCCAGAAAGGCCGTGTTGTCCAAAATTGTGACTTGAACTCTGAGTTTTCCCTAATTCCCCGAAAGCAGTAAGCATATTGAGATAGGATGGGGTTATGATGTCATCAATTGACAGGCAGTCATGATCACAAGTGAAAATGGACAAGTGAACACATAATGAATCAGTCTACTGTCGGGCTACTCATTGATATGGAGATGTGAAGAGCTAGTCTTTCAGGGTTTCATCAACGAGGTAGCTTTATCCAGGATAGAGGGGAACGCACTTTCTTTTGGCTACCGTCTTATACCAGTAGCCTTCAAAGTATCCTCCTATAGATGTCTAAAACTGTTTTAAAGGCGGTGTCCACCAGGTCATTAAGATCTCTGGGTAGTGTTGACATTCTAGATCACCGGAGGAAGAGGCGCCTAATTGATGAACACATTGCACATTGGCCAATGGCTTGAGACGCTCCACTGTAGAGGTCTCAATCTTGAAATTCCACAAACTATTTGCGAACCCGGAGCTAAGGTCAGGGCTGACTGGAAGTTGGACACATCCGTCTCAAACCGCTACATTGAGTTTATGGGATAATTTTAAAGCACTAGCCACTTGCGAAAGTTAATGAAGCTATGTGGATTAAGAAGTGCACGATGCAAAACAGTGGAAGGGAAAGTACCCCTTTCAGATTCAGCCTTCCTTAATTTTCTCCATGACAGCCGAGCATGCTGACGCAACGGGTCGTTGCAAAGTTCGGGGCTTTCAAGAATGTCAACATTCACAGAAAAGAGCTTCGGATGTTTTAAAACTCCTTGTTTAAACGCTAAACTAATCGCAAACCCAAGTCGGTAGTCTCGCAGAAAACCTCATAGGTATTGTGGGCGAATAGTCGATACTCTAGTCATTCTACTGCCCTTCAGCTAGTCTTAACTATCTGCAACAAAGTCCTACGTGCAAATAAAGCTTGCTATGCCAAAACAGTCTCCTCTGTCAGAACTAACCGAATGTTTCTCATTTTTCCCAATCTCAGGGTACATTTTCGGTGGAAAGTAAGTTCCCCAATGTTGTCGTCGCGCCCACTGTGTTGTAGTAACATCGACCGACTGATTCAACGCCTTTTTAACTGTCGTTTTCGTATCCCCTCCCTCTTCGAGTTTTTTCGTCCCTCCCTCCTCTCGCCCTCTTTCCATTGGCTGGCTCATGTGAGCATCACGCCTGTCCTCCCTTCACTGAGCGATGAGTGGACAGACGCCGACGTAAACCTATCCCGCCCAATGCAATGGTGGAAACAGTTCGCGAATTCAAATACACTACATAGCGTAGTCGTTTCTTGCATGGAGGGAGATTAATTTTTAGCCCTCTCTACTTTTAGTGGTTCATTCGCCCCCACCGCCCCCGCATATTATTGCCTCTATTGGTAAGGGAAAAGCTCATGCTTAAGCAACTGAACGGGGCTGAATCTCCTATCATTTTAGTTGGCTTGATTGAGCATACTCCCAAAAATCGGAGTCCATTTGACTTCTGTCAATTGTGGGATTAGATTCTGCGTCTTTGGCTCCATTCACTGGTCATTGTCTCAATGTTCTCTAAGCCTTAATTTGATTGGTTGTCATCTTTGCGTAACTGAGCTGTGGATTGGTCCGTGGAGGGTCACCACTTCCTCCCTTTGTGTATTGTGTCACGCTCAACTGCATTTGTTTACAAAACTAAATGCCGATTAATCTCGTCTTGATTTTCTTCTCTTACTATGAAAATTCCGTTGGCAAAGTTAATGACGTTCTATTTTTGAGGCTTAGTGCTTCCCAGTGTTACAAAAGTTTTGACTCTCGAGGATTTATTTCATTTTGACGATAATTAAAGCCCCTACGCCTCGATTTTGGACAACACCTACTAGCTTGATATTGGAAACTCGATATGGGATGTTGAATCGCAGATTGTGTTCCACTAGTGGAGTACTCCCCGGTTGTGTTTCGGCTTGACTTGGACGCACTTCGTACCACTAACTAAAGCAAATACGACTTGTCTCCCACAGAAGCGAACCAGCAGCAGCACCCACCACTCCTGCGACAGCAGCAATACCACCGGGAGGAGAAAAGTCGGCGTCTTCTGCGGTACCTGCAGAGCACCCTCCAACCATACCGGCAGGAGATACAAGCGAGTCGGTGGCAGCGCGGCGTCGCAGATTCTTGAAACTACCTTTACCAACAGCTGCTTAGACGCTCTCCTTCCATCCTCTCGCCGTACGCGGCCACACGTGAATATTTATCGCATTCCTTACCTCAATCACTCGCAAGAATACAAAGACGACAACCATCTACTTCTTTGTTTTCTTTAGCATACATTCAGGCACCGTTGCTGTTATTTCTGCTTCTTTCGGCTTCGTCAGGGGAGCCATTCTGTTGTCTCTCCCATTTTAATTGTGTATTTTCATTATCATGCTTCACGTAACAAAAGAAAAGAAAGGAATGGGTGCTCACTCACTTTTGCATGTCTAGATGCTTCATTAGCGAGGAAAAACTGAAATATAACATTTCACTGTGAATGCTTTTAATCCACTTTAGACGTCAGCTCTATGGGGTCTCTTCTGAAGGACGCGGGGGTGCAAATTGCAGGATGAGAGTGAACTCCTCTTAGCGAGAAAGAGGAAGCTGAGAAGTTCAAGGTGGGGCAAAGCCTGCGAACTATGGGACCAACTAAGATTACGGACTGGAGGGATGCAATCTTCTAGGTAGTGAGCTCATCGCTGTCGTTGATCTTCTCAGGTCACTCACTAAGGCCTAGGTATACAAGAATTAGAGCTCCCAGCCAGTGAGAAGTACATCTTCTGAATGCAAAATGTGCGACCAAATGGTTTGCACTTACCAGTTGATTAAGGTGATAAAACGAATCCTCTAAGCTAATTGTTATATCACCAGTAGGATAGTCTTTATCGTGCCCTCTACCACTGTCTCCTTTCTTTCAACTCTCATATCATGGTGACCATTGAGCCCGGTGGCTGCATTTCCAGTCTGTCTGTCTATCTACCTACTCTTCTATCTCTCCATCCACCTGCGCTTCAATCCATCCATCCCGTGTCCATCCACTCATCCATCCACCTATTCACCGATCAATCTGTCTGCCTTACGGGCAGAGGCCAACTTGGTCGTAAAGCAGCAAAAGTAAAACTTTCCTAAAATTTATTGAAATCGAGGATGTGAAGAGGGTTCCGTATGTGGTAGCGGAGGAAGGTACCGCGGAGAAGAAAATTACACCATAAGTGTAGTTGTAGCGATAATTCACTTGTGGAAGCTGAATAAAGTTGGTTGAGACTATCTGTTATTGACAACGATGATTTTGGTGTCCCGATTGCTTAAAGTAATTAACGATTACAGTAGTAGTAACAGTTCTTCCGTGGTGCTTAACGAGAGTGATGATACAAGCCCTTGACTTCCCTATCAAGAGAGGAGGAGTCGTAGTGGTAGCTGAGGTGTTAAGTGGATTCCACTCACATATATTCATATTAGGTGATATTAATATTAAAAGACCGGGAATATGTATGTTTTACTTCCCACCACTGTGTCCCATCTATTCAACGCTGCCCAAAGGTATAAAGGAAGGGCAACGTTGAAAACAGTCATAATTTTTCAATCAGCCAATGAAGTGGAAGTTCTACTCTCACAAGGCAGAACAACTCTCGACCTCATGTCATACCCCATACTCGTCAAAGGACCCAATGAATCACTTTAGAATTGGAGAGAGAGCCTGCCTTGTTCTTATCCTCACCGCCATCATCATTGTACTGCCCTGATGATCGTTATCCAATCTCCAAGTCATGACCGTCACCTTACCCTGGAAATAGGAGTGGTCACATGGGTAATAGGCCTGACAGTTAAGAAATCAAAGTGAGATGAGAGCATCGGCGGTTTGAAGCAAGCTGCTTGCTTCCAGAGCCCAAATGTGTTTAACAGAGGTGGAATGTGATACTAGCTTGTGTCTTGTAGGTGGATGGTCGCATACATACCGGAGCTTGCGCACCTTCACCGTTACCCAATATTTTTAAAAGGCCATTTAACTTTATTAAGTCATCAGATGTATTTATGCATACACAAACATATTGCTTTCATAATATGGCAAATTTATAACTGAAAATTTCACCAATAACTTGCATTGCCCAGGCATCCACATCTACTTACTTCCATCAGTAGCACAGCAATGCGCGCGTTTCAACTTAAGGAAGCCAGTTTATAAAATCTACTCTCTTAGACTGTTCCAATAATTGTAGCGAAAAAGAAATACGTTTTGGAGTACTTCATTAATTCCTTGTAATGTGAACGACCACCTGCTCACCAATTACTGCTAAGGATCATCCAAAGTTTTGAGAAATTCTTACTCATACTTTGAAAAACACTCCGACTTCCAGTAGGGCACACGAAATTTCGTTATAATCTTATAAACAAAGAAATAAACAGCTCTCAAACACAACTTTTTCATCAGACATGAAATTTCCGTTCCATTGTAAAGAACCATTCCACAGCATTTGCTTCCGATCGAAAACAAAGCCGGAGAATTTCTAAGAATAAGTCATTGAATTGAAATGACAGATGTTATGTACGACTAAAGATATCTAGGTGACATGTTGGACCAAAAAGGCAAGAAAGTACAGCCTCCATCCATTCAAGTCAATGGATTACTGGCATTTATAAAGCCGGGTGAATTGTGGAATTCTCTTTGTAAAGCGAAGGTTGTTTATCTCTCGGTATTGGCGAGGAGCCACTTTTGACTTGGCCTTGGTACCACGCCGAGTGGCCTGGCCTTCGGGCCATGCCAGTAGCCCAAAAACCTTCCCCGTGCCGAATATGTAGATTCTGCCCAAGTGTTATGTCTTCTTTCGTCTTCAGGGAAGTCACCAACAGGCGGACATGCGACATTTGCATCACTGAAATGCCTCACTGCTGAACCGATTGCAGGCGAATAGCGCGGACTCTCTTCATTCCAGTCTAAGAGATAGTCTTCGCTTTTTCCAGCTTTCCCTAGCAAACAGCTGTCCAAACTCTCTTCGAGTCGGCAATTAAGAGCTGACAGAGTCAAGCTGATGACCTGACAGAAGTACCGATGTCAGAGATGTTTCACAGGCTACAGTTTAGGCCAATTTGAGGAATGCATGTAGACTTTCTAACTGGACAGACTGTCAGTATTTAATTTTCTAGCGTGCGGCGTGGGTTGGGGTGGGAGTGGAGGTGGGACAGGGAGGTTACAATCGCCAGGCTTATCACCGAAATGTGCATGAGATGACGAGGGAGAGGGGGAGAGTGGCCTCCTTCAAAGGGTGGACACAGCGCCTTTCGT